CATGTTTGGTGGTATGCGGATTCGAACCCGCGACCCTCAGATTGTGAGTCGAGCGCCTTATCCACCTGGCCATGCCGGGCACATCACTGATTCACGGTCGCATGAAAATAAGAAGTGCGAGTGTACTAATGTGTCGTTCACAGACAGTAAAATACTGCGTAGAAATATTACTTCAGAAGGAAGAAGATTGACTGCTCCACGAGTTTAAGTAGGACTATTCAATCAGTTACGCTTTAAACGCCAAAAGTCGGCGAAACATTGGAAACCAATAGGCCTAAAAACTGTTATAAAAACAAGTTAACTGTAGTTGCTGTTTTTGTTGAGCAACATTCTAGCTTTACGTTACTGATGAAATAATGCTGCTGGATGAATTTCTAATCTTTACGTACGTAACACAAATGCTTTGCAAACAGTCTTGGGTTGGGCATGGCCTAGTGATTAGCTGCCCAGACTGGGATTCCGAGGGCTCTCTAAACGAACTGCACCATAAGAGGGAGGGTCAAATCCCATTGTTGAGTCAATTCATTTTTTCTGGGGGGGGGGGGTATGCGCAGATAGTCCTTTGTGAAGCTATTCACGAAAATTTTAACACAAAAATAAACAATCTTATATTTGTTCTGATGTCCAAACTGAACACGATTCAATGCTAAGTCTGTTTTTTTTTCATAAACCATATGCAGAAGGATGACCTAGTAAAAAAGTTTTCCAAATTGATATAGGTCTCGCGTCAAACCCTAAATGCAACAACAAGGGCACACAAGCTAAAAATAGAACAGTGAGGGGCACATTTCTGTTTTCAACTTCTTCCCACCTTTTTTTTTTTTTTCAGGTTCGCATGGAGATTATTAATATCCGAGATGGGTCACATGTCAGGTTAAAGAAGCTTTGAGACACCTACTTGTTAAACAATAAGTAACAACAAAAAAGTAATTAGCATATTATTCAACACAAACTCTTTCCTGAAACACAATAGTTATCCTTTGCTCGTAAGTAAGAGGGTGGTACTGAATTTACTCGAATCTCTTTAAATTTCGTAGCTTACCAATATAGCTATAAAATACAGCATATGTAAAAAGTTGAGCCATACCCATTCGGGTATGTATGTCCAGCATTTAAGCCTAAGAACTGATGACAAATTGCAATATATTTTGCACCTCCAATGTTTAGTTTCAACACTTATTGTTAGTCTATAAAAGAGAACTTTCTTGCCATTTAAGTATATTTAACTTAATCCAAATAGAATGTGTCCCAAGAGTGTTGCCATATTCTTTGTTGGATAAGTTTATCAGAAGAGAATTCTGGGCCGGTATACAGCTCAATAAGTCCAAGGTTCGCACTGCAATGTTGCCGAACATACTCCTTATCTTTAGTTAACGGTGTTATAAGAGTGACATCAAAAGCCGTTATGTCAACGAGTGCTGCTGACTGGCTGCCTTCCGACTGGTGAGCGTTCGAAATTAGGACAACTATAACTTAACTGTACTGGTTTCTGAACTAGACGTTTAACTCCTGTGCGCATAAGGTGCCGGCTACGTTGAAAATACCAAAACCGAGAAAACTCGTGTGTTTATTTATTGTTTCGATGTTTTCATGTTATTGGAAGGAAATATTTTAGTGATTAAAATCGTGTCATTCATGCCTATTATGTGCTGCTACCACATAGGCCTTTCGCGCAATACCAGATGTCGCTGGTTTTCCTTTACATTAAAATATTTGGTAGGTTTATCAAATTAACGATATTTATAAAAAATATACTGTCATAAAACCTGATAAAAGTTCCTGTCGTTTGAAAACATAACTTGAAATAAATAAACATATTTTGCTGCGATTTTTTAAAAACCTTCACTGAAAAACACAAACACACACACACAAACACACACACATAGACACACAACCAAATTTGTTTCCAACCGTGGGGTAAGCATGAAAAATATAAAGTTTTGACTATTAAAACTTTCAAACTGAGAATCTTGAGTTAAAACAATTCTCCCACTAGACTGTACTACAACATTGGTAAAAAAACTCTACTACTTGACTGGTCATTAGACTGTACTGCAAGATTGGTAAAAAAACTCTACTACTTGACCGGTCATTGGGCTGTACTGCAAGATTGGTAAAAAAAACTCTACTACTTGACTGGTCATTGGGCTGTACTGCAAGATTGGTAAAAAAAAACTCTACTACTTGACCGGTCATTGGGCTGTACTATAAGATTGGTCAAAAAGCTCTACTACTTGACCGGTCATTGGGCTGTACTATAAGATTGGTCAAAAAGCTCTACTACTTGACCGGTCATTAGGCTGTACTGCTAGATGATAATTGACTGTACTACTTGACAAGACACTAGACTATACTGACAGATTGGTAAAAAACTATACTACTTGACCGGCCATTAGGCTGTACTGCTAGATGATAATTGACTGTACTACTTGA